TTTCAGCAATTTCTAGTTTTCTCTCCAGGGAGTAAATGGAAAGTACTAAAAGTTCACACGGCACGTGTTTCCCGCAATGTGGTCAAGATAGATTTTTATGAGGAGATTGCACCTGTCGGAGATGTTATAATCCTTGCGTCAAGATGCCGGTTCCTTGCATTCGCGGTGGGAAAGCATTTTCCACTTAAAATCCTTTTTCCGAGAGGCGGCGGCGCCGCGGCGTGCCGTGCGCCGTAACCAACAGCAGTAATGTCTTTTTGAGCGTCCTTTATGAGACTTTATTTATTTTTTTTTCGCTCGTTTTCAGTAAAATAGAGAGAGAGAGAGAGAGAGAGACCCTCGGCAGTGAGAGTTCGTGCGTAATCATCGAGAGTGTAGTGGTGCGATAAGAACAGCGCGCGTACGAGTCATCTCAGCAGCTTACTTTCGTTACAATGTAGAGCAACAAAAGAAAAAAAAGGAACAAAGTGAATGCATAGTTTCGCGAACTAGAAAAATTCTTATTATAACAGCGCAACTACAAAAAGGAAAAACAGTTGAAAGAAACGACAAGCTGTATATTTATAAAATTTGCTATTGCTTGCTTACTAAAGTGTACGATTAAATGATCATGTATCAACAATGTGTAACCTGTTTCAGGAACATTATTTCACCGTGAAAAGGAGATTGAACGTTACTCATTAAACATACGATCCCCCATTAACGTGTATTTAATTATCGAGCGTAATTATATTCTACACGGACGTTCTCGATTTAACGGCCGAAAATCCTGACGCATCAGCTATCTACGTGTAATTCAATAATATACATATTTAATAATTAGATTATAATTGGAAAGTAAAGTATTGTAATAAACGTAATTAATACTATTTTATATAGAAGTATTATGTCATTTATTCGAAATTTCAGCTGTTTCAAAAGTGGACTATCCTCTCTTTTGATTCTCTCTTCTTAAATAATGCATTATTTTAATCCTACATTTTTTACTTCATGCGCGAAACTCACTTTACATGATCTATAATTTGTATCAGATTTCGAAATAATATTTTATTTGTAGTTTTTGTGTATTATATATTATTCAAAAACCAAAAAGGATTTAATACAATTGTAAAACATTTTGGAATATTTTTCTAGAAATAATTTTGTTTAAGAAGATTAGACACACAATGTGCAAACGCTTTGATACGCAGATAATCTCTTTAACGCACATCCACATATCACACGGATTGCTCCAAAATGGTGTAACACCATGCATAATTACGATGGAAACAATGTCCGCATTGTTGTAAATGCGCGCATTCTGCGAATGGCATGTGAGAAGAGATATATAAATTTAACACTGCACACTATATTGCGCCATCTTCTGTGCGATAATGCGATTATACCAAGGATTATACACCGCATTAAAAGCTTATTTACTTTGTTATAATTGTTTGCTTAAGACCACAAATCTTTAGATTTCTTACATATGTTTCTCTTATGCATTACAATAATGTAAACTGATATTTGCAACTTGTAATTTAGTATCGGTATATAAAAAGAGAATTAAAGCATGATTTTATTTCGGGATCCAAATTAACATATTTTATGTCTTACATATATGTTATATTAATTTTTAAAAATATTAAAATTATATACACACAGTACTTTAATAGTTTACATTTGTTTCATACATTATTATATCTATAATATATCGTATCGTATATATAAAAAAAATTGTAGTGTATATCAATTTTTCATAATCTTATAAATTAGTTTTATTAGTGCAGCAAGCATCGTTAGTTTTCTGTCCGTTCGACAAATTATTCTTCTTTGACCGTACGGAATTCAAAAGGTCTTTCAATTTTCCCTCGAAACTATTGTGCAACGATGATAAATAATCTGCACATTCCCGGAAACTCGTAAATTCGGAATGCACAACGACGAGAAATATATTGATTGTCGATAAAATAGCTCTGTGACAAATTTGATAGAGCAAAAAACATTTGACGCAAAATACGTTATACGATGTTATATCAAGTTATATGATCTTGTATCAAGATCTCTGCAATGAATGCTGTTTCATAGCTATATATCCGCCCGCAGCATATATATAAACCAGCCCGTTTAAAGTTTACGGCTTGAAATCAACTTTTCGAAATCTGTTTCTGAAGAGCCGTGCTTTACGCCGAGCAATATCGAAGCATATTCTTTTCCCGTCGTTTCACTTCTAGATCTATATATAGGGTAAGAATTTCTCGGGTAAACACTTAGCGTCATCACACGACGAGACTTTGGAACTCTTCTAAGAATTATTCCGCGTAATTTGTATTTGAAGAGAGAGGATTCTCGAAAATGTTCTTAAAATATCACCATGATGAGAATGGGCAGGGCTATATTAACAGAGTTGCATCCATTTGCACGATTCGTGCTGAATAGTCGATTCCGAGTTTTGATAGCTCGAGGCGAAGATTCTTATTCCATCGGGGGCGAAAGTTCTATTGCATTATAACAGAGCGGGTAGTACAGTGAAAGTTTAACGAGTTATAAGCTCGGCAAGAATAGTCGCGGTATGGCGAGGTGGGTGGCGGGGGGGGGGTGGGAAGGAGGGCACGTACGAGATACATGCCACGTTAAAGAGAGTACCGGGATTTCCTGGTCGCTGAAGTTAGGACGATAAATCGAACCGGAATGCTAATACTTCGACCGAATAGTTTGTCTCGCGCTTTGCCTTTCCGCTGCCAGCGCCAGCATGATATGCTAATGGCTCGGAATCTAGACGGCATTTCCGTCTAGATTCTTGTCTTCTTCTTCCCCGCCTTTCCCGAGTATATCTCCGCGTGCTTTAATTTGTTCAACTTTCAAAAAGAAGGTAATAAACTGTTAATGAATAAGACAAAAAGTTCCTCTAGCCTCGGGAGGTATTGCTTAAAAAAAATATATGGTTCTTACAATATTTCTCTTTTAATATCAAAACAATTTGCACAATTAGGAAATAATATTTCATCCGTTCGCTGAATGAGATGAGATCATTTCAATGAGCGTACATCTTTTTGATCGGACGTTTAAGAAATTTTACATTTACCCGGCGGATTCACACCTGTCCTGTCATTATCGCCGTAATCCCGGGACTTTCGAAGAGAGCTTTACGTATAGAAGACGCCGCGCAGGAAGGGACGCGAAAGAGTACGGAGAAAAGAAGAGGCGGAAGACAGCGGGCGGAAGGGAGTGGAAATGGACGGATCCAGCTAAACGAGCAGATTCGTAATCCTTTTACTGCCGCACGACGAGAGGCTTTGATGCTGACGAGCTTAGCGCTTAGCGACTTTCGTAACCGTGTCAAGCCGGCCTAAAGGACGAGTCTGAGACAGAGACGCGCCGGCGAGCCTTTGGCGCGTTAAGAGCCATTCGTCCGGATCTTTTTTGACATTACGTCTGCCTTCGAGATTATAGCCCCGGGACCGCGGCGCGAGGGATTTACCACTCGACGAAAATGTCACACGTTTCTTCCGTTAAAAAAAAAAAAGAGTATCTTATCTCATTGTTGTATGCAACTCTTTAATTGTAAACGTCGCTCCCTCATCTTTCGTCAGTCTTCATTTTCTCCCTTTGTCCTCGCGGAGAATATTACTTTGCTTCACAGTAAAAACAGAAACGTGCTTTTACTTCGTAACAGAATGACGCTAATTAACATAACGTATTATTGAAAAAAAAATGTTATCCGGCTTGACTATGAAATGTAATCATCTAGGGAGCCGTGAAAGTAATTGAAACACAAAAGTTCTCGGGACGGATCAGCGGGCTTTTAAGGAAATGTCGATAATGTGCGACCGTTACTCTTCCGAACAATTGCGTTAGCGAATATCGTAAGACGGGGCGTTATAGATTTAGGATGTCGATGGTGATCGTAAAAGACGCGCCGTGTACTTGAAACTTTTCTTTATAGGATATGGCATTTGAACTTTTATAAGAAGATTATTTGCAAGATTGTGATGATATTTAAAGACGTTAGAAAGCAGAATTTAAAAAGTTTTCCTGTGACATTTCGGGCCTCTCCCGATGTAAAGAAAGAAACAGTCTTGTTTCATCTTTCATTTAAATATTATTCGCGGTATGATCGCTGTAATTAAATATGAGCGCCAAAGTCTGGAACTCGGCAGTAATCAAGCCGACGTTAAGCTCAACTTTCTATTCAAAAATTCATCAGTCGAAAGAGTTATTAAGAAGATGAGTTCCATCTTCCGAGAAGAATACTTAATGAAGAATGAAATGCTGGTACCTATCTCGTTAAAAATGAATTTTTCCGTTATATTCGATCTTGACATTCTAAGACAATTCACCGCGTATTCCGATTTGTATGCTTTTCATTTCAGTATATATATATCCTATATATATATAAAATTATAAATTTATAATTGTTCTAGTGTTTTTTGTATCACATAAAATTTTTAACAACATATAAAATTAAAAGACATAAAACTTCTGCCTTAAATTTTAACACAAATCATGAAAGTAAATTTTAAGCCAGTAGTGTCATAAAATACCACTAAATTCACTATTAATTATTTCTAAGTACTATTTATAAATCCACTACTAAACTGAAATTGACATGTTATTCAATTGAAATATTACGCCTTTTAATTTTACAGATAAGAAATGCGTTTTTATTTATTGTCAGATAAACCTGCATAAAACGGTTTGTTAAGAAGATATTCTTAAATTAAATTATATATATATGTGTGTGTATGTGTGTGTGTGTGTGTGTAATCTCTTGCTTCCACTTTTTCTTAAAATAATATTCCTGCATTATCACTCACAAGAACGTGTGTCTATGTGGATGTATATGATGTGTAAATGTAAGTGCCGCAATATGAGCTCGGGTCCGTGGATTCGCTTAGCCCAAATGACTGTGCGAATCAGTCATCCCTGCGGAAAAGTAGCTTTATCACGAGGAATTGTATCTAGCCCGCCATCTAAACGAGGTGAAAACACTCACAGAGAAGACGTCTTACATATTTCAGCTTGTCGCCCACGAGAGACGATTGTCGACCTCGGCTTCGCGAACAATGGCTGCAATGAGTTTAGGTTTCATCGTCATGGTCACGCCATGGACGATTCAGGAAGTCGTTGCAGCCTGCACCGGAAGCAAGCCACCACCGTTTCTCGACTTCCTGGCAACGTGGCTGGCTCTCTCCAACAGCTTCTGGAATCCTTTCCTTTATTGGCTGCTCAACAATCATTTCCGCCGAATTTCAAGAGAGCTTCTTTATACTAAGGTAAAAATTTTATGCTCATCGCAATGATAAATAAAATGCAGATTTGAAAAAGAAATACAAATAAAGCAACAAAAAAATGAGTTATAAAAATGAAATGCAGCTATAAAATTTTATATGTAAACAATAGTAAATTAAATTAGACCGCGTATAGAATAGTGAATATCACAAATGAAATTTTATTCGAATAAAATTTTATTTGTTTTTTGATGCATTTATTTTTTGACAAAGTTTCGAATTGAGAAAAAATTGTATTCTTTAATGCGATTAAAATTTATTTTGCAGTAAGAAGAATACAAGTTTTATGCTTTCGTTTTATCAATTTATTTCAAAATAATTTATTCGTCTTCTGCTTCTTTGTACCCAAAAACCAGCTCGTCGGGCTTTCGCGAGTTATATTAGACAAGACTATTATAGCCGCAGCCAACATTATTTTACACGTGTGAACACTTCGCGTAAATCTCGTTATATGTAAATGGAACTTCGCAAAGGCGTGTTTTCAAACGTCCATTAAAGTTTAGCTTGATGCAGGTCTTGGCAACTAACAAATAATTTTTCCTTATCAATTAAAAACAAAAAGTGAAAGCAAAAAATCGCCCTTTTCGTTTCATAAGAAAATATCTCAAAAGTTTGCAAGATATAAATCATTTTTATTAAAAGGCGCAGTTAATTTATACAATAATTATAATTTATAATTAATAAATGCATAATAAATATTTATAATATTTGTAATTTATAATGACTTTATAAATATTTAATAATCGTAATTTATAATTAATCAGAATTATAATTTATAATAATTATTTATTTAAAATTAATAAGAAATTTTACATTTAAAATTGTAATATTTTGTGTTATAATTCAGGTAAATTTGGCTGCAACAACATTCGATTGAAAGAGTAAAATAGCGGTATGCAGAAAGTAAATTACGGAAAGGAGGAAAGTACAGTTGAACGGAAAATTTATACGATTAGAAAGGTTCAATAAGTTCGTAAGGCGAATGCTTTCTTTTATTTACCTGATTCTTTTTCCGTCGTTCGTTTTATCTTTCCGTTACATCAGAGCTCCGCATTTTCCGTCTTCTGATTTTACGCTTCACTTCTTTTATTCCGCGAAATCAATCGTGCGCTCAGTGCTGCAACAGAATCAGTAAATTTCTCGTAGAGGATGGCGGTTCACGTCGCCGGCGAACGAATGAAGACGAACGACTTAACGCGACCTCCTCAGGAAAACACGATGGAACGCGACAGCACCTGCTGGGAAAACAAGATTTATCCGGTTGCAAAACGCGGTTACGCAGCGCGTCTGATACTTTCCGCGACAGATCCAGAGCGGTCGCGGGTCGGTCCCTTCTTCTTCGCTGAATTCCCTTTTCGGATTCAGCAGGAACGAGGGAAAACGGCAGTACGTCGCGTAGCACGGCCGCGGCCACATAGATCTTGGCGCTTCGACTTTACAGGCCATGAATTCCGAAAAGCTTGTCGGCGTGCAGTAAATCTTTAATCGCTGCGCGAAGTGCATCGCGGCCTTCTCTCTACGTTCACCGGATGCGAAACTACATGCAAGCACAGTAAAATATACTCGTGCAGTACGTTTGATATTTCTTTACAATTGACTCATGCGGTCTTTCGATTGGCAAACGACGAGTTTTTGTTCCAAGTAAAAATCACTATGTTAGTGTATTATGTGGGTCATAGGTTTACTCATACTTTTTGCAAAAAATAAAATTCGATTAGTTGGTGTATCATTATGAATAGTGAAATTACGAAATGGTGGGATGACAATAAAGCGCATATTTCAGTTTCTATATATTAGAATTGCGAACAATAATTAATTTTTATTTTCTTTATTATTTTCTTTTGTTTTAATATCAAGTTTTGTTACAAATAATTAATGTCTGATATCAAAAAATCACTAAAAATGATATTTCGCCTTGAAGCTTTATCTAAAAAAATAATCGATATATCAATATTTGACAAAGAGTTTATTATTAATAACAAATATATGAAAATAATTATTGGAAAATTTAATACATAAAAAGAAATTAAAGATTTGTGCATAAATAACAACTCGTAATCTACTTTTATATACGTATATTGAATTTTATGATGGTAAATAGCAATATCCTGTATGTGTTAATGTTTTAATAAAGCAATAGATCGAGCAGCTTACGAGAATCGTTTTGCATAGATACGAGTATGCTCTTAATAAAGTAAGTACCTTGGGAATCATATGCCGGATATTGTGGTTGAATCCCGGTTTTTACTGGCTTGATATTGTCCATGAAATTTATATAAAACACAATTTACGTAAGGTGGTATTCCAAACGGAACGCGAGTACCATTAAATCTCTATTACATCCTTTTCAATTATATATATTTGAAATAACATAAAAAAGATACTTTGCATATGTAATATATAATAACTTACAACGTAAATAGAGCATAAATTAATGAGCGTAATAAAGCAAACTTTATAAGCAGACCGAATAAAATGTAAAGGTAGTTTCAACATTGCAATTATTGTAAATTTTATTGTATTCTTTAAAAAGAGGGAAAAAGTAGATAGAGAGAAAAATTCTAGAAATTTCCTGCAGAAAAATTATTATAAAAATAGGATTATAAAAATAGGATTACAAAAAAGTTATTATTCATATAAATTGAGAAAAAGAAACATCATAAAATGTAAAATGTAACTTTAATAGTATACTGCTGTGAAACAGATAAACTCCAACTAAATATTAATATATTATTTTAACTCGTAGCACAGTATTATGCGTGTAGGAAATAGTTTGCCACATGTGTATGTGCATATTCAGCAGTATTCCTTGAGGACCGACATTGCATTTCAAGCATTCTATTCCGAGGCATCGTGCCGCAAAGTTTATGAAAGCGCAGCAATATATATCGCTTACAATTAGAAGCTACTTTACGTTAATCTGATAAATGAAATGCATAAATGCAGCATGCATGAATGTACCGCGGTGATATTCGATTATCGGGGAGCTTTAAGACGTCCGCGTCGTGATTATTTATTATCTGTGTTCTCACGAAAAATATTTCAACCTTATCACACGGGTAATCAATAAAGCTTAAATCTACTCCTATATACTTTGGAGCAATTGATTTATCGTTCGCAAACTGACAGGCATTATTCACTTATCGATGCATGTCATGATTGATAATTCGGATAATTTTAATTTCCTTTTTATATGCAGATCCTGTGCAGGTCTAAGCCGTTGGGAACGAAACAACACTGCTGCGCGACTAGTACCGGTGGCCTAGACGTTTGCAGCATCGCGGGCATCGACCTATCAGGTACGTTAAACGAACGTCATTTTGCGTTGAAAAAAAAAGAAATCAGTCAATTCGAAAATTTTCTTCACGTTAATTGTCATATGTAGCCGCGTAGCAAAAAATCGGCATTAGAAATATACATTTGAATTTTTAAGAAACACTTCTTTTACGAAAATTTTAAGACATACTCGCAATTTATTTGCTCGAATCTTTTTCTAATAAAAAACAGGTCGATTTTATTAAACAAAATAATTTCTTAACAATGCATTACTCCACACTCTTTGAATCTACCTATCATAGTAGTTATATTAATTACGACAAAATTCATCCGGTTGCCTTCATACTGATGATCTCGCACCGACAGTGAAGGGATTAACATAATCAGTGTTTTGCGCTAATTAAACCGAGGGGAATCAGCCTTTTGACGGCATCCATTATCAACATTAACTGGATTCTCGCGCTCTGTGTGACATCCATAAACCGAGATTTAATATAATCGCTAGTAATAATCAGCGTCATCATTTTCGCGTAAATGCGAGTTGTGTCATAATGACGTTTGAAATCACGTATCGTATTGTATCGTACTTACAACTGCTGCTATTGATTATGCTACAACGTGTTAGCCACTATTGTGTTTACGTGTTACCTCGTATTGCGAAACATTTAAGCAAAATATCAATTGTTCTCTGACATAATTATTTGACTCTTATTAGTAATAAGTCAGGTAAGGTTTTTAACTTTCGTAGTTCCGAATTGAAATATTAGCTAGAAAATCAATATCGCCAAATTTCTATTCATTATTAAAATAATTATACGCACTAAATCCAATATACTAATTGAGTATGTATATAATATATGAATATTTTATAGTAAAAATGAATATAAAAAAATTTTTGTAAATTAATGAATATAATTTTCATCACAATTGTGTTTTGTAACACCAGACAAAGTAATATTTTGAATTTTCAGCTTTGCATAGAGGAAATAAAAAAATAGTGCATTATATTGTACAAAGAGATTTATATTAAAATCTCTTTCTAGTAAAGAGTTCACTTTTAATTTGCACGAAAAAATAAAATAAATAAACACGACTCCTTTAACTATACTTTTAACAAAATTGTATTCTTATAAATTCTCATAAAAATTCTCTCATAGCAATGATCGCGGGAATATCGGCGAGTATCGCATTAGGAAATATATCGTGACATTTAATTATCGATCCGATTGAAACAAAATGTGCAGCGCCGAGACGAATTAGTCTCGTAAACTCGCTTCGAATTTACCGTTCAAATATATTTTACGCTGATTGGGAATAATTATTACATGTTATACAATGCAATCTTGTCAATAGGGAATATTATATTAATCAGCACGGTTTTACCTATCACTCAGGTTTTTTTATTTCAGGTCTGGAGCGTTGCTCAATGGAACGATGCTCAATGGCGCGTTGTTCCTCGTTATCATTAGCGAATACACCACCGCCGCTCCCTTGGGAAACCGGACATGTAACACATGGTGACGTAGCATCCACGTGAGGTACACGCGTTGCATAAATATATGCTTCTACTCTATTATTCGCTGCTATCTATGTTGTCCTACGTTACATAGAATCTATCATCTCCGCGGCATTAAAATTTAATGTCTCTAATCAATTTGCAAGCAGCTTTCCATTAGACGAAAATGTATTATACATGTATCAATAATTATTATAAAGCTACAGAAAAAATGAGAACAGCTTTCATCTCGATACTGAATCAATTTTCGTAATTATCACGAAAACTCTTCAAACGTGTCCAGTTTATTGCTTGATAGTAAATGTCGATGGTAATTTCCAGTGAAAGATGCCGCCACGCAGACGGAGGATTGCGGATCTCCGGACGACGCCAGTTAGTACAGCGTGGCGGCAAGCCGGCATCCGATGCTCCGAAACTATCGAGCACAATATCCGTCGCCTGTGCACCGATATCTGCGAGACCATGTCGCATCCTCGCTGGCACGAGGGCGAGTTTCGCGCGTCGAGGTGGAGGACAATCGTGACGGCGATGTCGCGACGGATGGAGCGAGCCGTTATCGTCGACATGATCGACAGAGTCGCTTCGAATTCGTGCGCTTTAAAAGCCTGCCAGATCTTGTCCGGGATATGGAACCGCGATGAAACACTGATTAACGAATGACATTATCAAATATCGGGATATTACTGTACATTACTGTCGTCATCGTCGTCGTCGTCGTCGTCGTCGTCGTCGTCGTTGTCGTCGTCATTATTTCGATTTTCGTAAGAAAGCTTGAACTCAATTCGGGTGCAACAGCAAAAGGGCGAACGCGAATTCGATCCACGCCCCGAAGCGAGCGTACACGAACGCGGTGTCGACACACCGCGATTAGCTCTCGTCGCGACGAGATCGATTACGGAAATTAATTACGGCACCAACGAGGATACTAATCGCGCCGCTCTCTACGATATACATGTAGATGTTTAATCACGGCGCTTTGCGAGTGTTAACGTCATTCGCGCCCGCATCCAACCCCGTTTTCTACGATTAATTATTCACGCGTGAGTGTTTGCGCTACAAGCTGTGCATTCAGACACAAAATTGCTTCTTTCTTGGGCATATAAACTTCAAATATTTTTCTTTATAATTCCTTTTTAGATATTATACTTACATAAGTTCAAAGTTAAAATAATAGATTTTGAAATTTAAAGGATTTCTTTTCATTCACAGATCAATTTGAGGTCAAGTCCTCATTAAAGAAATCTTACTTGAATATTTTAAAATAATTTGACGAGGTTACTCCAAGATGTGCGATACATTCACAATGTAAAATTTACGTGTCGAATATATTATGTACTTATGTGAGAAAGAATGACATGTTTAAATTGCAATTGTTTGCTCAAGCTCGAGAGCTCATTGGTATGATGACCAATGCGTAACATCTTATATCTATATGTCATTGTTATGTACATATATTTTATAAAAATGCCTAATAAGGATGCAGATATTCGAATTCACTCTTAATATCTCTCGCAGAGTTTTATACTGTAACAAATAAACTACAGATAAGACGTACAGCGTTGTTGTTCCTGCATTTTTAAAATGCATTTTATTCAATAATCTTTTGTTTATTTCGAAATTTTGAATTGTTATTAGAAATAAATAATATTATCTGCGATATTTTCTAAGGAATTTGTTTCAACAATGGCATAAGGTAAATTAGTCGTATTATTTTATTTAGTGCAATAATGCATATAGAATAATGCAAAAACAGCCTTGTTAACTGAATCAATTGTAATATATTAATTTTCAATATGCATATTGCGTTTGGATGAAAAATACCAACGTATAGATTTTTGAATTGTTGCAAAAATAAGAATCATATAAAAATGAAAAGTTTTCAAATACGGGAGCGATTAGAGGACTTGCATAAAGTTGCATAACTACATTAAAATGTTATGGAAAAATTCAACGGAATAATGAAGAAACGAAAATGGCATCTCTGTTTTATAGATACGGAATTAAGGGACACGGAATCGATACCGTACATGATTTAGCATGTCGATGGAATAAAATCTTCTTGTATGTAAGAAGAAATCTTTTACTAATATCTAGAGTTTTGTATTCAGCGAAAGAAGATGTCGACGATTGAAAGTGGACACAAGGCCGAGACGCCGTTTCATATGCATGTTCTCATAAAGAGAATTCTCTCAAGACTTTAATATATGTGAAATAATTACACTTTCAATTTATAATTAGAAATATTGCGCACTGTTCTGATGTAAAAAGATTTATATAAAAAGTAACATTTTATACGGCGTATCCTATTACTGAAATTTATTGTTTTAAAAATATATTAATTTTTATTCTCATATTTGTAATTATTTTATTTTCCTTTCTTAAATTTTCTCTAGTTCTAAATCTTCTCTTAAATTGTCTTTCGTTTTTCTATTTAAATGTTCTTACGTTCTAGTTATATTTACTAAACATATTTATTTTACATTTTTAAAATATTAATCCTTTAAGATTTTGTTAGTATTACATACAAATTTAATTTTCACAGTATACTCATAAGTTTCTAATATATGCAGATATCTAATTACAGGAATTACTTCAGACTAAAAAGAATATCCTTTTTACGATAATTTTGATTCGTGCCGTGAGATATATAGTTAATAAGATAGAATTGCGTATATCGCTAGACCATGGTAAATAGCAAGTAAGTTTTTCAGGAAATTTATATCAAGAAACATTTACATTTCACGATAGTCACGTTGAAAAAAAAATGATGCTATTATTGAGTGTCTGTGTGCTCGCATGCATGCATGCAGCGATTATTCGCGTTTTCTAAAACGACAAAATCCACCTATTTGATTTGCTTAAATTAATAAATAGCCGGTGGATCATTACTTGTTTTCAAATTGCTAATAAAACTAAGCATACCGTATGCCTCAGACGGCAATATGAGACTCTTCGAAGCACCCGCTTTAAGAGCCTTATTTCTTTTCCAAGATCTCACAAGAGGTTGCTCAATAAAACAACCTCCTATGTGTTTGTATATAAAAAAAAAAGTAATTGAAATGTCCAATTACAAATTTAACGTACTTTCATACGTATATGAGCGATTGAACCATATGGAGCAAAAGCTAGATCATGCTATCCATAAACGTGAATAATGAATATGAAAAAAAATTGCAGATATTGTCGAAAAAGCTATTTTATTTACAAGAAAACTTACATTTATTCCAAGTATTTCTATAGGAGATTGATGGTATTTGTAAAAAATAAACATACCCTCGCTCACGTTTTTATATATAGCTCTTACATATTCATTTTGCAGAGCCTTCTACATCTGCAAGAGGCTAATGCAAGAAACTCAAATTGTGCCGAAATAAACAAGTAAAATTATAATGAAGTTATATTGCGTTAGTTATACGTACAAGATGTCTCATGTATAAAGTCTTGCAAATTGATGTTATTCCCCAGGACTCTTAAATGTAGAGATAAAATCCTTTTATGTATCTTATTTGCTGATACATTTTATTAACATTTTAATGTGTCGGAAAAGAACAAATTTCCAAAGAACTATATGTACTTCCAAAACGAATCATATACAATGGAAACTGCACAAATCATTTTGAGCAACGTCGGGAATGATCACTGAAATATCTCAGCGCGATAAAACTCAAATGCAAATTTAGTATATTAGCGCGATGTAAAAAGCGATGTAAATAAGAAAAGACATCACCTCGCCCTTTTACGTAGTAAACCGATGTGAAGGTTTAATTGGAAAGGAACAGTAAAAATAAAACACTGCCTGCAAATAATTCATTATCGGCACGAGACAGCTTATTGTCTGCAACGATGCCACGATTTACTTTAAATATCGAATCGAATGCGAATCGTTTTTTGTATTTAATAATTCGACACGTACCGATTACGCATGTGTAGATAGAATTTTAGATAAGATTATTAGCCAAAAGCAAAACGGCGACTAGTTAGATTAATTATTGAAGTATAAACGTGAGACTTTTAATAATCCACCGAAATTTAGTAATACCACCGAATAAATGCCTTAAGCAAAGAACCTTTTATAAATCGGCAATACGGACTGAAAGAGGAAAGCAAATATTGTATATATTCTGCAAAAAATTGCTGGAACATTGTAGTTAATTCGGCTATTTCTTGCAGAGTAAATAAGAATTGAGCGCCATAATTCATTTAAGTACAATAGCGTTTTGTATTTGTATTTAAATTATCATTAAGTCATTGATTACTGTTGGCATTGTAAATCACAATATAATAAAGTCTCAATTATTTCTAGAAATGTGATAAATTCAAAGCTATTCGAAATAAAATCAAATCAATTATTATTTAAATAAGTATCTCGTAAAAATCGAGATAATTCTCCTCCTTTATTATTTTACATCTTAACACTAGAACTACTACTAAAGCAGTTAAAATGACTGGTTTGTAATTTTTTAAATTAATAGCAATGAATTTTTTGAGACTTTCGGACTTTTGTTACAATATTAAATGATTAAATTAATTAATTTATTTTATCTCTTTCACACATCTCTTTTTTCGAAGAGATACAATAGCTATATATAGAAATAATAGACATATACATTTATCATCTAGTTCTAGTGTTAAATGAGATGGATAAAATAATGCGCGAATTCCAACTGCCGTTTCAAGATGATTGTAATCGTCTTATATAATAAACTTATATAATAATTTCGAATGACAGAAATCGCGTTATGAAAAATAATGCGAAAATGACTACTACTTGCTTGTTTCCACGAATGATACTGCAGCTTGCACATATAGAATAGCGCGCTACGCGCAAAAGAAATGTTGAAGCCAATTGATATGTTGTCGAAATATTAAACTCTTTATACAAATTTAGTTTTAATATTCTGTTGCATGTGTATTCTCAATTAATATTGATAAATAAATTATCATTATAAATTAATTCTAACATTTGATTTTTTATTATTTTTCGTATATATTAATAAGATGGTAACATTCGTTATAGTAATACATTATGATGCTATGACACGTTAATTATTAATAATAACTCTTTAGTTACATAATCTGTTACATAAACAAATACGGAAGACGAATTCAAGATGAAATATCCATCGAAATCCTTTACAGCTCACATTGACTTTAACGTAGTAAATCTATAAGATTTTATTTCTAATATTATTTTATAATAATGTCGATACGTAAGTATATATCTAATTAAATTTTCACAAATCTTGCGGTGGCGCATTGACGCACATGTCTTGAATTTCGGTCAAACGGGAATTGCGATTGAATGAATACCAGTGCATGCTCGGCGATTTTATTATATTGCGCGGTTAGTCAAGGCAAATAAAAAGATTTATTTACTAATTATCAGTCGCGACGCCCCTCGCTCCGGATTCATCCAGTGTCGGCCGCGTTCTGAAAATAAAAAAATAAATAAAGCGTTCGTTTCTCGCGGGCCAATAGCGACGCGGCGCGGTAATAGCAGCGGCGCGATGACGCAGCTACACGCAGAGAGAAACCTGAGATCCTGAGAGTGGCTTTTAGCATGTTACCTCAAATTTCAAAATGCCCTCGTGCACTAACGTCTCCTGAAGAAGTGGATGTAAACTACATAGCAACATTCACTTTTCTGCACCGCGGATATACAATTAGTGGTGCGTGTCCGTGCTACATCCACCTTTCAAGACTGTTATAAAGCTTTATTCTCGAAAAATTGCACGGAAAGAACGATTTCGTTGAAAGTTCTAAAAATTTTGTTAAAAACAGAACTGAAAATAATTTTTTGTAGAATCATCAAAATAATTTGTTGGAATGATAAAACTGATAAGCATTGCTATAAAACGTTTTGATATTCTAGCAATCGTTTTGACTTTCGCACAAAATTATTTCGATTATTAAACAAAAATTTTCAGGTCTGGATTTAGCAAAATTGTTCGTTCCGTGTGCGCATTCGAAAATCATGTCTTCTCTCAGATTACGAATATTTCCGGCGAGTAACACAGTCTTTGACTTTGTTCCGTGGGTTCCGTGTCAAGTATATTGTTTGGTTTTATTCCGTGCTTATATGTGTACAAAATATAACTATGTAATGAATAATGATAAAGTTATCTTGGATATTTCTTGATGGATCAAAGCCTAAAAGTATACATTTTTTTAAATGCATTTTTATACTGGCACTTCTTTTTAATTTATTATATTATATTATAATATATTATATTACATATTACTTAAACTTAAAATTTTCTTATACGAACAATATATTTTCAACTTAAAAAATTAAAATTTAATATAAAAACGCGAGCTCGAAGTGAAAAACAAAAAACATATGTGTTTATACATATATATTATATATTATACATATATACATATATATTAACGTATTATAAGAATATTTCGTATGTGTGCATATGTATAAGAGAGATGTGATTTTTATAAAACGGAAAATAAATCTTATTATTCTAACTATATCAAAGAATACTTTCAATTACGTTCCTACCTTCCTAATTAATCGCGTCTAACCCGATTCTTTCACCGCAGCCGATTCGAAAAAAACTCAAAGGGTGTGTTAGTTTTGATAATGAAATTCTCGTAGTCTCTTCAGCACAATCCAATAGGACTTGCACAGAAATTAAATACAGTTTCATCGCTAATTAATAGATCCTAGCCCGATTTTTTTACCGCAGCCGTTTCGAAGAAAACTTATGAGATGCGTTAGCTTTCATACTAAAATTCTTGCAGCCTCTTCGGCACAATCTAACAGAATTTGCATAGAAATTAACTTCTGTTTAATAACTAATTAATCGCGCCTATCCCGATTTTTTCACCGCAGCCATTTCGAAGAAAACTCATGGGATGCGCTACTTTTGATACTGAAATACTCGCAGTTCCTTCAGCACAATTCGATGGGACTTGCATAGAAATTAACTTCTGTTTAGTAACTAATTAATCGCGCCTATCCTGATTTTTTCACCGCAGCCGTTTCAAAGAAAACTTACGAGATGCGCTAGCTTTCGTACTAAAATTCTCGCAGCCTCTTCAGCACAATCCAACAGAACTTGCATAGAAATTAATAAATAGCTGAAAAAAAAAAAAATTTTTTTTTTGAGAAAAAAACGAGGGGTTTTTTTGGAAGAAAAAAAAACGCTTTTATGTTTTTTTTTCTAAAAAAATGTATTTTATGAAAAAAAAAACAATTTGATTTTTTTTCTATTTACATCTCTAGTGACTACATACATTTTTGACGTTATGATTTGATCGACAATGTCTAAAAATGGATGTAACTACGTAGTACCCGTTTCAAAAATGGCGCTAGTGTACGGGGGTTCTGACGTTCCCACGCAAAAAAAGCCGGGATCGTCGCTCCCGCTGTAGGCTGCTATAGTGCGACGATTTCAACCAGCGTGGCGGTATTCTTGGCGTGTGAAGTTAACGGAGTTAATCGCGCGATTTACGAACTCCCTTCGCCATCTGGGAACGTATCCGTTGCATTCGTGCTTCACATGTACGGTCGCGGGCCTTTCGCGCAGTATATCTTATTTTTTGTTTGCTGTCGCAACGATATTAAAGTGAGCGTCGTGTGCGATGGACATCGAATGTGTCGTACATATACGTACATACGTACAAAACGTCACGCGATTGTCATTATATTCGAGTGATTATTCCGCGTTTAATAATAATTAATCCTTAATTTCCATGTGTTATCGCCGCGCAGCGTTAAACGCGCATCAAACACGCGTCTTTTTAGATGTTGTTCCAATCGTGCTTTTTTCAAACGCGCGCGTTTGACTTGCCCTATATAACAATGCGTGTAACGCGTGCATATAAATCAGAAATAATAAATGTTTCGCGAACAAGTATTGTGTCAATTGTGTAAATTCTACGAAAAAACAGCAACAGGGAAACAATTAAGAGCGCGGAGGAGGAGGCCAGGTATTGAGGCATCGCGGTTGACGATGGCAGCGCAACTGAGAGGTGACTACCATACTTCGTAATTAATCAGTTTTATTATTCTATCTATTATTTTATCTATTATATATCTGTTTTATTACTGGTGGAAATAATGGTTGGTTGGCGCAGCAATGCATTATTTTCGATTATTCTATAACAGGGATACGCAACTGGCGCCTCGTGAATCCGACCGTGATATCCAAGCCTTGATCCGCAGGACAAATAAAAAATAAACTGAATTATTAGTGCATAACGCTGAATTGTTTTTTACTTTTTTAAATTTTTTTATTAGAGCATTTTTTTGAATAACACTTTATGAGAAAAAATTCTTTTCCGTAAAAAGCGTAGCAACACCGTGCAAAAAAAGAAAAAAATTTATACAATATATGGATAAGTTCTACATTTAACTGTTAGGATTTACGGTATAATCCATATAAACTCAAATTTCACATTGGGCTGCCAAAAAATTTAGTCGCGTATCTCTGCTGTATAGCTATATTATATTGCACATTGTCTAATTTATGAAATATTTTAAATATGTTCTAAGAGTTTTTTTCAAAATATCAAACCAAATATTTATAATAGTTATAACATCTATAATTACATCTATAACATGCATATAAAATAATTGAAATGTTTAAAATTTATATTCAAATTAGTATATAACAGGCGCGCGCTTCGCGCGCGCTGCGTATTGAATCCCATACATCTTCCAATAACATTAATACCAATTTACATTTTAATTAAACAAATATTAACAATTTTTGATAAAAAATAAATTTTCAAAAAAATGACGCTTATAGCGCGCGATGCGTATTAAACTCCATACATCGTCCAATAACATTTATACCAAATTACATTTTAATTTAACAAATTTTAACAATTTTCAATAAAATGACGTTTTAATCGGCCATATTGAATCGGCAATTTTTAAATAAAATCACGATTTTTTAGAAAATAGCCACATAATTCATCTTTAAGATAAGCCCAGAAAAAAGTCGATATTTTTATTTTTCTGGAAGATATGAATTTTTAAACATTGGGGAAAAGAAGCTTCAATATAGATAACACGGCATTTGATTTTTAAGATAAA